AAGCTTGAGCCCCAAATACTGCTGACAGCCCTCCTCCCACAAAAGGGGCCCAGCTAGAGGGTGAAGCTAACGCTGGAACAGCATTAAGGACAGGGGGAGTAGCAAGGTCCTTGTTTACATTTTTGAACCGCTGAAGTCACCAATAACTAAGCCCACACAAGCACCTCTGAACTTCCTATTAAGTAAGATAAGAGATTTCCTTGTTGTTGAAACTATTGGAAACGTCGTTATTTGTCAGATGGTGCCAAAAGCATCCTCCCAGTTAAAAGTAGCAAAAGCTAGAGTGGAGTTTTTTGGTAAGTTACTCTTCCTATGAAATACTCTTGAGTGAAGGAACCATATCATATCCATAACCATTCTGTGTGCCATCACATAGAATTAAAAGAATTTTAAATTTTTGTCCATCTATTCTAATTTACATTTCCCTGATTATTAGGGAGACTTAAATTCCTTTCTGTATGTGTATTAGCCTATTGGATGTCCCCTTCAGTGAACTGCTTAATTATATCCTTTGCCTATTTTTCAGCTGGATAGTTTATCTTTTTCATATTGATTTTTTTAAAGTTATAAATACATTATTTATATAATTCTTGTTATTTACTTGTTTACTTGTTTACTTGTTTACTTTATTTACTCCCTGGAAATACCTTCTCCCATTCTAAGTTTGTTTTGATCTTTGCTCTTGGTCTTTTACTGTGTAGAAATTTTAATTTTAATATACTTGAACTTATTTTTTCTCTATTGTTTGTGCTTTTCTGATACATTGCTTAAAAATTATTTCATACTTATAGAACATAAAGATGTTCTCTTATTTTTTTAATAAAAATAAAATTTTCCGGGCTTCCCTATTGGCACGGTGGTTGAGAGTCCGCCTGCAGGTTCATGCCCCGGTCCGGGAAGATCCCACATGCCGCGGAGAGGCTGGGCCCGTGAGCCATGGCCGCTGGGCCTGCGTGACCGGGGCCTGTGCTCCGCGACGGGAGAGGCCGCAGCAGTGAGAGGCCCGCGTACCGCAAAAAAAAAATAATAATAATAAAATAAATAAATAAAATTTTCATTGTTTACCATTAGATATTTACTGCACCAGGGATCTATTTTATATTTAATGTTGGATGGGTTCCTGAGTATTTTTTCTGTACGGATTGCCTGTTTTTCCAGAACCATTTATTGAATAGAAAGACTTTTTCCTCACTGATATGTAATGTTAACCCTGGCAAATACCATTTTCCACATAGGATCACCTTTGTTTCTAGGTCTCTAGTCTGTTTTATCGGACTATTTGTATATACCTATACCTGTATTACACAGTCATCATTGAATAGCCATATACTAAACATCTGTATCTTGGTCCCTTACTTTTCTATACACATTTCAGTATCAGTTTGTCAAAACCATCCTGTTGGGACTTTGGTTGATATAGAGACTAATTTTAAGAGAATAGCTTTAAGACATTTAGCCATATCATCCATGACATGGTATAATTATTTCTCCATTTTTAAAGTTTTACATACTTTGGTGAGGAGATAAAACCCTTCAGTAATCTATAACACTTTATCATGTATTCTAAAAGATAAAACAATCAAGTAACAAAAATACACTTAATGTTTTACTCCCTTGAAGAGATGATCAATATCAAACTCTCCTTCATTATGTTGAACAAATACTCTCACTCTCTTTTTACAATGTATTTTTTTAAAATCTCTTTTCAAATGTAGTAGCTGTAAGATCTGAGGTATGTTAGTCCCTGGCTCTGGACTCATCTCTTCCTGGATGCAGATCTTTGGTAAAAGACAAAACTATATTTAAAATTTTGAATTCATGGGATGTTTTTCTCCATAGTTCCTTCAATAATGTTTTCTAATTTTTCTCCAAAACAGAATTTCTCATCTTTTATTGAGTTTGTTCCTTGGTTTCTGATATTCCTTGGTTGCTGATATGGAAGATTTCCTATTTTCTATTATATTTTTAAGTTAGATATTGCTGGAGTATAGTAACATTCAATTTGTATGATCATTTTATATTAAAGTTATAGATATATACACACAGTTTTCTTGAAAAAAAGTTGAACACACCAACAGTGCTGGTGAGAATGTAAAGTGGTCTAGACGCTTTGGCAAATAGTCTGGCAGTTCCTCAGTATTAAACACAGAGTTACCATATGACCCAGTAAGTCCACTCCTAGGTATATAGTCAGGAAAAATGAAAACGAATGTGCACACAAGAGCTAGTATGAGAATGTCCATAGCGATATGATTAAAAGTACCCAGAAAAGTAGAAACAGCCCAAATGTTCATCAACTAATGAATGGATAAAAATGTGGTATATCCATATGATGGAATATTATTCAGCAAAGCAAAGGAATGAAGTACTGATACAGGACACAATATGTTTGAACTTTGAAAACACTATGCTAAGTGAAAGAAGCCATTCACAAACAGTGACATGTTATATGTTTCCATTTATATGAAATGTCCAGAATAGGCAACTCCATAGAAACAGCATGGGCTGGGGGCGAGAGGCAGGAATGGGGAATGACTGCTAACGGGTGTGGGATTTCTTTTGGGAGTGATGAAATATTTTACACTGATCGTTGTGACGGATGCACAACCCTGTGAATATACTAAATATAATTGAATTGGACATTTCAGTGGGTGAATTGTATGGTGTGTGAATATCTCCATAAAGCTTTTTTATGCAATTTTTAAATTAATTTTTATTGGAGTATAAATTGCTTTACAATGTTGTGTTCGTTTCTGCTGTACAGCAAAGTGAATCAGCTATATGTATACATATCTCCCCTCTTTTTTAGACTTCCTTCGCATTTAGATCACCACAGAGCACTGAGTAGAGTTCCCTGTGCTATACAGTAGGTTCTCATTAGTTATCTATTTTATACATAGTAGTGTATATATGTCAATCTCAATCTCCCAATTCATCCTATCCCCCCTTCTCCCCTTGGTATCCGTAAGTTTGTTCTCTACATCTGTGTCTCTATTTCTCTTTGCAAATAAGTTCATCTGTACCATTTTTCTAGATTCCACATGTAAGCAACATTATACGGTATTTGTTTTTCTCTTTCTGACTTATTTCACTCTGTATGACAGTCTCTAGGTCTATCCACATCTATGCAAATGGCACTATTTTGTTCCTTTTTATGGCTGAGTAATATTCCATTGTATATATGTACCACATCTTCTTTATCCATCCATCTGTTGATGGACACTTAGGTTGCTTCCATGTCCTGGCTATTGTAAATAGAGCTGCAGTGAACATTGTGGTACATGACTCTTTTTGAATTATGGTTTTCTCAGTGTATATGCCCAGTAGTGGGATTGCTGGGTCATACAGTAGTTCTAATTTTAGTTCTTTAAGGAACCTCCATACTGTTCTCCATAGTGGCTGTACAGGAATGGGGAATGACTGCTATTTACACTCCCACCAGCTGTGTAGGAGGGTTCCCTTTTCTCCATGCCCTCTCCAGCATTTATTGTTTGTAGACTTTCCGATGATGGCCATTCTGATAGTTGTGAGGTGATACCTCATTGTAGTTTTGATTTGCATTTCTCTAATAATTAGTGATGTTGAGCATCTTTTCATGTGTTTGTTGGCCATCTGTATGTCTTCTTTGGAGAAATGTCTATTTAGATCTTCCCCCCATTTTTCGATTGGGTTATTTGTGTTTTTGATATTGAGCTGCACGAGCTGTTTGTATATTTTGGAGATTAATCCCTTGTTTGTTGCTTTGTTTGCAAATATTTTCTCCCATTCTGAGGGTTGTATAAAGTGTTTTTTTTTTTTTTTTAAGTTTAAGCTGAAGAGTCTAGAGATAACTTCCATTTACAAGAAGTATGAGGGGATAAAGAAACATGTTAAATGATACCAGGAAGTAAACATGTAAATCCAGAATAGAAAATAATCTACAAGACAACTGACCCAGTTTCTTCAGGAAAGGAAAAGGGAGGGTAGAGTACTCTGGTTTGTAGGAGACTCAGGAGACAAAACAATCAAATGTGTTGTGTGACCTTGCTTGAATCCTGATTAGGCCAAAGCAAGTGTAAAAAGAGTTTTTTGAGATTATTGGGCAACTGTGGTTATGGACATGGAATTGGGTGATACAAAAAAAGTTATTGTAAATTTTGTTGTGATTGATAATGATATTGAGGTCTTTAAGGAAATATCTATATTTTTAGAGAGCTATATTGAAGTGTACAGGGGGTTAAGCTCTCCAGGATTTGTTTTGAAAATATTTTAGCAAATAAAGAAAGGGGGGAAAGAAACAGATAAACAAAAGGACAAAAGAATTTAATTTTTATTGTTGAATCTGAGTGATGGATATTCTATTCTTTCTCGTACATGATTGAAAATTTATCCTAAAAAAGATAGGAGGAGGAAGGAGAAGATAAATGATTTATATAAATTTGACATTGTATGTATTGAAGACATTTTTTAAAACAAGTTTTTCAGTACTTTTAATATATTTCTGAAGAGTTATTTAAGTTCTTGAGGCAGTTTTGTTGTTAATTCTAACAATGTACTTAGAAAGAAAGCACAATATATTTATAAATGTTGGACTATTGGAGTGGTATACTCTATAGGAAAGGTTTGTAGAAGAAAACAAGTATTATGAAGTTCCCTAAAAAGTTATTAGAAAAATCAGTTAGACATACAAATAAAATGATAACATTTCTAAGGTACACTAGATTTTTAAAATTATGTTAATAATTGAATATTAATTCTTAAGGAACAACTAAACATAAATCATTATTTCTGCATACAAAAGCCATCCTTGCGGACACTAAAGAGTCACATCAATCGTACAGTTTAAAGAATAACAATAAGATAAACAACAGTGCACCCATCCTCCCTCAGATTTATATACTGCTGAATTGAATCTTCATAATTTTATTACTTTGGATGTATCTTTATACGTGTGAAATGTATGAAGGCCAAAAGAACAGTGGCTTAACCATGATAGGAATGCATTTTCTCTCTCCTAACAGTTTAAGCATTCCTGGTGGATCCAGAGGCTTCATGGTGTCAGAAACCAGAGTCCATCTCATCCTACCATCCTCAATTCATGGCTTCCATCCCACACTCTCAGATGGTGTATCCAGGTCTCATCATCACCTCCACATTCCAGCCAGCAAAATGAAGAATGAAATACACTCGGGGCTTCCCTGGTGGAGCAGTGGTTGGGAGTCCGCCTGCCGATGCAGTGGACACAGGTTTGTGCCCCCGTCCAGGAGGATCCCACATGCCGCGAAGCGGCTGGGCCCGCGAGCCATGGCCACTGAACCTGCGCGACCAGAGCCTGTGCTCCGCAGCGGGAGAGGCCACAACAGTGAGAGGCCCGTGTACCGCAAAAAAAAAAAAAAAAGAATGAAATACACTCCTTTTGTTTAAATGGTATCATAAGCTGGTAAAAAAACATCACTTCCCCTCACATCCTCTCCTTATTTCCTTTCTTCTACTAACTTTAGGTTTACTCTGTTATTGTGTTCCTAGCCTCTAGAGTTAAATCTTATTTCTTTTCAGTCTTCCTTGGTTTTTAATTATGATATTTGTGTCTACCACTTAAATTGCATCCTCAGTCCTTAATATGCAGTAATTTCACTTTTTGTAAACTCCCAATATTTAAAAATTTTCAATGATAATTTTTGTTTAAATTAATATTTTTATTTCTAAAATTTTAATTAATTCTTTTTTATATCTTCCTGTTTTATTTATGCTTGGCTGATTTTTAGAAATATAATCTGTTCTATTTCATGGATATAATTTCCTTATCTTGCTGAGTATTCCAGGCATAACTATTTTTAGGTCTTTTTCAGAATGTCCTTTACAAGTTTATCCAGAATCAATTTATTTCCTGATTGTTAATTTTGGAAGCTGTTTTTGTCGTCATTCTGTTTTTTGTTTGTTTGCTTAGTGTTATATTCCTTGATATGTTTTGGAATTGGGATTTGTAGGATAATCTTGTCTTTGACTTTTTTTCCCAAATCATTCTTTCTATTCTGAACCCTCCCTGTCTACAGGGTTTGCAATTGCCTCTGTTATTACAGTCACCTCTATTCATTACAAAGTCTGAATGGACCTCTCTGGCCCTTTATGATAACAGTGAAATCACAGATATAATGGAAGCTTGCCTCCGTTTCTGATTAAGAGGCTGTGTCTTTGTCCATCTACCTCCCCAGATATGCAGTATTTTATACATGGTTCCATCAAGCAGCATTTTTCAATATATATTTTTCTTGAGTCAGACTCCAGCAGTGAACCTATCCCAGCCTCTCAATTTATGGGAATCACTGTTAGCACTATTCATTTTCCAGGAGCTGAATCTTTTTGCTACTCTTTATGCTTGCATTCCTACAGTGTAGTGGCCAATTACTTTACTTCCTGCTTATTGTTTTGTGTTTTTGTTCTGCCATTGGTCTATGGAGACATGTACCCCATGGAGATGTTTGGACCACAAGGATGTCTTACTATGTAGGCAGACATTTTTGTGTTTACTAAAATCTGTTTCTTCTATTTATTTTTTTTTTTTTTTAAGTACATGGTCCTCTCACTGTTGTGGCCTCTCCCGTTGCGGAGCACAGGCTCCGGATGCGCAGGCCCAGTGGCCATGGCTCATGGGCCCAGCCGCTCCGCGGCATGTGGGATCTTCCCGGACTGGGGCACGAACCCGTGTCCCCTGCATCGGCAGGTGGACTCTCAACCGCTGCGCCACCAGGGAAGCCCCTGTTTCTTCTATTTTCACAGCACAAAACTAGCCTACATTTATAACCTCCTTTGCAATTTGGTATGGCCATATGACTAAGTTATGGCTAAGCAATGTGGGCAGAAGTGATACATGACATTTCTAGACCTGTCTCAGAAAAAACCTCTGACACATCATGTCCCACGCTCTCTGTTTCTCTTAGTCATCGGCTGGAAGTGAGGTACTCTTCAGAGATGGAAGAATTACAGAATTGAAGGAGCATGGGTCCCTGAGTCACTGCATGGAAGGCAGCCCCTGGACATCTGATTGAACTTTACGTGAGTGAGAAATAAACTCTTATTGTATTTTACCCCTGAGATTTCAGAGATTGTTAACAGTAGCTAGCAGTAATGACACACAATGTCTTTCTAATTTTGTTTTTATATTTACATGTTCTTTACTGTTTGCCTATTTTATATATTATTGCTATGTGTTTGGGGGTGAAGGGAGGTCTCAGGGAATAAATCCATAAGGCTATTTTGGCCAGATTTCTGACCAGACATTTTGAATAATCTCCACATAGCATTTTCTATTCCTGATCAAGACAATATCAGTTGCACAGAAATGTGAAATAATGCTGTCATTGAAAACTCATAGCAATGTTTCTGTGAATTTTATCTCGACCACTACAGCAACACCCTGTACTTAGAGCAAAGCATGACTCTTAGGAGCCCTGGATTTATTTGCTGCTATTTTAGGAAGCATCCAGTAACAGACTCCTCAACACAAACCCATCAGTTTCAAACTGCTTGATTAGACGTGTTTTTGCCAAACCCCTTAAATATAGGCTATTGCTAGACCAGTGGCTAGCTCTGTGGCAAGACCCCAAGGTACAATTTGTCTAAAGACAATCGGCACTCCCAATGCATCTTCAATCAACTTGTAGTTAACCAAGCCATTCCATAGCAGGAGAGAGCTGCCTTCTTTTATTAGGAATAGGAACGAAGGTCTGAGTCATCTCCACCACTCAAGGCAGGTTTTGCCTTGTGGCTTGACCATATGCCTGCTCTTCCTTTGACACACGGTGGATTCTCAAGAGCATACTAAATATGTCGCCTGAGATTTCTGTTTTGAGATGACAGCAGAAGTACATGCCTCTGCCTGTCAAGTCGGATTCTGTCACGGGGCATCTCCTGCTGGGGTCTTTTGAATTCAGACTTTCTCCTCCCAGCCGTCCTCTCACATGCTTGCTTCAAATTGTTGTCAGCATCATTGCATTGCGTCCGAAAAGCAATTTTGCAGATCATTTTACTCTGGGGTCCTCCCTTCCCTGGGTGCCGCTGAGATTAAGACAGAATAAACTCCCATGTAGTGTTACCACAAGAGGTTTCCCATAATCTTCTCTTTGCATTTTTTCTATGAGTTTACTTATTTTCATTTTTTGCACCTCTGTTTCCTTTGAGTGCCCCCACTGCATTCCCTTCCTAATTTTTTGGCAATCCTTCATTTCTTTATGTTGACTATAAAGAAAAAGTTTCTAAATCCTCCTTAAAGCTCATCTCCCATGGATGCAGCTGTAGAACCAGTTTTGCTTCAGGAGACTCTAACCAGAGTAGAATAGCTTTAAGGAATCTGTGTTTTTGTGTCATGTGGACTTTTCTGGGAAGAAAATCCATAAATTTTATTAGAATCTCAAAGTCAACTGGGACTAAAGAAGTTTAAGGACTATTATTATTGTCAAACTAGTTTTTTCCTGCAACATCCTAGCAGTGAGGGGTGGAGAAAGCTTTTAGGATCGGTTTTTCTAGTTTATAACACACCTTGTCTTTGGTGGGAGCTTCTGTCAACCTCACCAGTAAAAATAATAGATATTTGAACCCAAAGCCCTGAATGTTCTTAAACTTGATAACAACAGGAAGAAAATCAAGAGCAAGGTTAAAGACTTAAGACTGAAATATAATTCCTGTTCTGTTTCAATTGCAATAAAAACTTTCATTTTGAATTAAGTGGTGAGATTAGAGGAAAGGACAAGAGTGGCAGAGCAGGGAAGAACTCTTTGAAAAGCTCTGTGAATTATTTAAAAATCCTAATTACAAATTTAAAGTATAATTGCAATCATTTAATTAAATGTATCATAGAAATTAAAAAATATAAATGGTCACTAATAAAGGAAAGTGAGAGAGGTTAATGAAGAGATTACAATTCAAAGTAATGACACTAATCAATTCTTAGCCTTCAGTATATTAACATAAAAGAGCTAGTTCCTTCTAAGAAATCTTTATTAAAGGAAGGTATTTTTTAAGTCATATGATTCTTCTGCCGTTAATTTTATGAAAGGTCATCCCCCTTTCCTTCCCAATGGTTAATGCAACTTCTCCTGTGGAAATGGCTATCTTCATTTTCCATTTCCATGACTTTCTTGGGGTTTGGCTTCACCAGATGTCCTCACAGATCTGTACTTTCGCTTCTGGCCTCTGGGCGTTTGTTCCTGACCCCCCTCAAGTCATCATTACCAAGTGTCTGATCAGTTGGTGTCTAAGAGCTTGATGGAGCTTGAATCCTACTGGTGACACATAAGCAGCTGTAGACCAAGTGTAGTCAGAGCTCAAATGTTTCTTCAGGGTCCATTGCCTTGCTTGACTCTGTAGTCAACATTCCTTACTGTGAGCCCAGCTGGCTGCTTTCTCTCCTCATCTTCACTTCATGAGCATTGCCCTCCAGAGCTTTCCCCAGCAAATCTGCTATGGAGTCCCAACAGCAGTAGGGGCTCAAGATACCACATACAGAGAACAGAGAAAGAAATCCCCCCCAACAAGCCCCAGCTTCTATTGTAATGACGCAGTTTGCTTCCTGTTCCTGATCAAATCCTTTATAGGAATTGCTCATATACGGTAAAAATATTTTTAGTCTCTTTTCATTCTTTCTACTATTTGGCATCAGCTGAGTAACAGCATCCCCAAAAGTCAGGAAACCCTTAAAAAGGAGGAGAGGCCCAAGGCCATTGAATCCATGAAATGGATAATCAGCCCCTGAATAATCAGGATCTGACTGTACCGTAAACAACCTCCTCCCCCCTTTCTGGGAGCCAAAGGCAAAGCACAGCCAAAAACTCTCTGGAGGAGATCCGAGAGATTTCCTTCTGCACACACCCTGCCCCCAACCCTACCGTGCAGTCAGGACCATAAACAATCCCCCTTCAGCTCAGACATATCTTTCTACACATGAGTAAATTTTCTGGACTTGAACATGAATGCAACTGACTGGCTTAGAGTTTGCATAAGCACTGCTTTGTGTCTCTCTGAGTTTTCCCCAGTGCACATTTTTACATCTGCTGGCAAAGCCAGGCAGTGGCACTCAGAGGGGCATTTGAAACCGCATTTTTTGGCTCATTAAATCTATTCTACCGATGTTGCACCCCATGTCATTCAACCTATTTTCAAGCCGTTTTCTCAATGGGGCACTTCAAGGAGGTTGGGCATGGATTTTGCTAAAAACTGGATTGTGTCCATAAGCCTCATCAAAGCCAGTTTATTCTCGGGCTCTGGCAACCTTTGAATAGCTCTTCCACCTTTGCAGGGCTGCCCCACAAAGCCTGCTCTGCACAGTTTGCCTGCAAACCAAGACGTTTATTTCATCTTGTTGCTGAAGTCTTGGGGGCCGCGAGGTTACCTCTAGTGAGGGAGGAGGGTCTGTTTCCACCTCACAGCAAACAGCCGCCACAAGTATGTACAATCTCAGAGGTCTCTTTGGATACCTTCCAGAGCCCGGCCAATCAGGGAAGTGCTAGAAGCACAGAATGCTTGAAAACATTAGAAAAACATGCCTGACTTGGAGCTTTCCTCATTAATTAGGATGGCCTACAGAATTTGTTGACTCTAAGTCTGAGAAGAAAAGAACTTACTTGGTTAGTAGCTTGAAAGAGCAGTGATTTTCTTTTCTGTGTCGACGTGCAGTGGGCAGTACAGATGGTGGGCAGGAGCCGGGAGGTTTGTCCAGGTCATGGCTGCAGTTCTGTCTGCGTGAGCCCCAATCTCTTCCTCTGTGAGCTCCTCCATTTCCCTCTCCGGTTGCAGTCCTAAGGGTGTTAGCCCTCACAGAAAGGGTTCTACATCCGAAGCTGTTCCTGTTCTCTTTCTTTCCTGGTGTCCCAACTCCCTACCTGGGAACACTGTAGTAAACTGACCAAGCAGATGCCTGATTAGTGCCAGAGACTTGTTTTGCTCTATTGAAATATACCCTGGGGAGCATGTATCTCTCGATTTGGGGGTAAGCTGAATATTAAGCATTAGCTGCCTGGCTAAAGAAGCTGGAGCACTTCTGTGATGTCTGATAACAGAAATTCAGCTCCTTAGACAGCTGAGATACAAAAGGCCTTAGCCAGGGCAATTAGGCAAGAATGAAATAAAGGAATCCAGGTTAGAGAGGAAGAAGTTAAACTATATTTTCAGATGACTTAATCATGGTTATAGAAAATCCTGAGGAATCCACTAAAGAACCATTAGGATTAATAAATGAGTTCATCAAGTTTATGCAAAAATCAACTGTATTTCTATGCAGGAGCGATGAGCAAACCAAAAATGAAATTAAGAACGAATTTCATTTATAATAGCATTAAAGTAATAAAATACTTAGGAATAAATTTAACCCCCCAAAAAGGTTAGACCCGCTACACTCTGAAAACTACACACATTGTTGAAACAAATTAAATAAGAACTAAAAATGTGGAAAGATACCGCAGGTTCATGGATCAAAAGCCTTAGTATTAGTAAGATGGCCATACTGCCCAAATTGATCTATAGATTCAGTGCAATCTCTATCAAAATCCCAGCTGACTTCTTTTCAGAAATTCACAAGCTAACCCCAGATTCATAATGAAATTGAATTTGAAGGGATCCAGAACAACCAAAATAATCTTGAAAAAAAGAACAAAGTTGAAGGAGTCATACTTCTCAACTTCAACACTTATTACAAAGCTACAGTAATCAAAACAGTGTGGTACTGGCATAAGGACAGACATATAGATCAACAAAATAGATTTGAGAGTCCAGAAATAAACTCTCACATTTAGAGTCAATTGCCTTTCAACCAAGATGCCAAGACCTTTCAATGGGGAAAGAATAGTCTTTCAACATATGGTGCTGGGACAATGGGTAGACATGGAAAAATAAATTTAAAACAAGAATTTGGACCATATCAAACACCATATACAAATCAGAATAGATCAAAACCTATGCAATAGCTAAAACTAAAACTCTTAGAGGAAAACATAGGTGTAAATTTTTGTGACCTTGGGGTAGGCAGTGGTTTCTTGGATATGATACTAAAAGCATAAGCAAATAAAGAAGAGACAAACTGGGCACAATTAAATTTTGAAACTTTTGTGTTCCAGAGGATATCATCAAGAAAGTGAAAAACCACAGAATGAGAGAAAATTTTTTGTAAATCATATATATGATAAGGGACTCATATCTATAATATATAAAGAACTATTGTAACTCAACAACAAAAAGACAACCCATTTAAAAAATGGACAAAATATCTGAATAGACATTTCTTCAAAGAAGATATGTAACTGGCCAATAAGCAGATGATGCTCTACATAATTTGCAATCAGGAAATGCAAATCAAAACTATAGTTAGATACCAATTAACACCCACTAAGATGGCTGTAATTTAAAGAAAATAACAAGTGTTGGCAAGAATGTAGAGAAAATTGGAACCTCATATATTACTGGTTGGAACATAAAATAGTACGACTGCTTTGAGAAACTGTCAGTTCCTCAAATAGTTAAACAGAATTATCATATGACCCAGCAGCTCTACTCCCACATATATCCCCAAGAGAAATGAAAACAAAAATGTATGTCCACATAAACATTTATACACTAATATTCAAAGCAACATTGTTCATAATAGTTAAAAGTGAAAACAACCCAAATGTCCATTGGTAGATATATTAGTAAATGTTTTAAAGAGAACAGAACCAATGAGATATATATATATGTTGTTCTGGATATATATGTGTGTGTGTATATATATATATATATATATACACACACACATATAAATATATGTATATATATATGTATATATATATACACACACACACACATACACACATATAAATATATATATATAATGAAATTTATTATAGGAATTGGTTCACATGGTTATGGAGGCCAAAAAGTCCTACAATCTGCCATCTGCAGACTGGAAAATGAGGAAAGCTGATAGTTAATTCAGCCTGGGGCCAAAGGCCTGAGAACAAGGGGGCCACTGGCATAAGTCCCAGAGTCTGAAGGCTTGAGAACCAGGAGCTCTGATGTCCAAGGACAGGAGAGGATGTATATCTTAGTTCAAGAAGAGAGAGATAAAATATGTCCTTCCTTTGCCTTTTTGTTCTATTTGGCCCTTCAGTGGGTTCGATGAGACCTGCCCACACTGGTGTGGATGAGTCTTCTTTACTCAATGGCGGCCAGGTCATATTTGAATATTCTTATTCTCCTCTCTGCCTCGAAAATCCTCCTGGTTTGTAGAGAGAGTGGTCTCATTTTTAGCTTATAAAAGCCAAAGTTGACATTTTCTGTTGTTGTGTTTTGTTTTCAAGGCTCAGGCTAGCAAGCAACAAAGGCTTGAGGGACCTCACTTCCTGTCTGGCTCCCCAGCTCCCTGGAGACTTGAATCTCAAATAAATGTTTCTGTCAGGAGGCTGAGCTCCCAGCTGTGTAAATTGGTCACAGATGTAATTGCATTTGCCCTCTGCCCTGGAGGAACACAGGCCTGTGGTTGGGGGTTTAGACGTCTCAGAATGAAAGACATTACTCCTGACTCTGGTTAATAGCCGTGAAGCCCAAAATCAGCTGCCACAGACAGGCCAAAGTGTGGCCAGATGTACAGGGCTGTTGCTAGCCAGACTCCAGGCCTGCACAGCCAGTTACCCAAATGGGATCATTTCATTGGCCCGTCGGGCACAGTCAAGACCCAAGCTTTTCCATTGGCTCTTCTTACTTCCAAACATGACTCCAACCACACCCTTCACCCCCCTCCCTCCCTAATGCACACAGGACCTCTGCCAACATCTCCAATCCTCATTTTCTTGAATAGTAGGCAATGGCAGCCCCAGCACATTAACACTGCCCATGATATAACTCCTAGAATCCAAAGAAAATAAACAGAGAAATATGCTGCTGACACCCATCCAGTACCCTGAGATCCTAACACAGGGTTGACTTAATCAAACAGCATTTCAGTGGTGCCTGGCATAGAAATTGAAGCCTAGAGACGAGACCTCAGCAGGGGGCGATGAGGCTGAGTTAGACCAACTCTTTGGGCATTTGAAGCCCTGGATATAGGTAGGACATAACGAGGCTGTCCAGGACGGAGAGTCAGAGCCAGTCTGTACTTTGCTGGGATGGAAAGGGTGAAAAACACTGCCTGACAATCCCTGAAAATACTGTGAAAGGACCTTTACATCATGACAATTCCTCCAGCTAGCTTTCTAAAGATCACCGACCAGGCAGCTGGGTCTTTTGTTCAGGAGCTGCTGGGTAGCAGATCTCCAGGAGACTGAAGATGCGTTGAATGAACTTTTAAACAATGTTTATGGAATGTTCCTATTTCTGGGGTTTTCATTCTCATTAGAGAACTGGCCGACAAGTATGTGCTCCAAGCACTGAGACAGACTTGGACTTTCTTGCACCACCTACTGTAACGGGTCGTGGCTAGGGGTGCAGGCTCTGGGTGCAGGCTCTGCCTGGCTTGGAATTCACGCTCTCCCATCTATTAAACTTGTGACTTGGAGAGTCAATCTCCTCCTCAATTTCCTCATTTGTAAAATGGGAATAATAAAAGGCCATACTTTATAGAGTTGCTAGGAGACTACATAAAATAATTCATGTAACATGCTTTGGAGAGAACCTGGCATATGAGAAAAAGAGAGGGGGTGGTGGGGGGAGAGAGAAAGGAGGAGGGGAGGAGGGGCAGGGGCAGGGATCATCATGTGATTTTTAGCATGCAATTCTGAGTTCAAAGAACTGAGTGATTTGCAAGAACAAAAGTAGGGCTTCCCTGGTGGCACAGTGGTTGAGAGTCCGCCTGCGGATGCAGGGGACACGGGTTCGTGCTCCGGTCCGGTAAGATCCCACATGCCGTGGAGCGGCTGGGCCCGTGAGCCGTGGCAGCTGAGCCTGCGCGTCTGGAGCCTGTGCTCCTCAACGGGAGAGGCCACAACAGTGAGAGGCCTGCGTACCGCAAAGAAAAAAAAAAAACAAAAACAGAAGTATACCAATTCTCATCCAACGATTTATATGAGCTAGTTGTCCAGTGTTTACACTTAGTTATAAAAGCAAGAATAGGAATCAAATTAATGTTTAATTGTGTCTGAGAGCCCTAGAAGTAATATTCATTCATAGGTATATGAACTCAGTGGAGGAAGCACACATCTCAATAATAGATGAATTTCCAATAAAAGTTTACTTTTTACATGTAGTTATCCTTTTCAAAGTATATGAAATATATAGGTTGTTTTGATCAATTGTGTAGGAATAATAAATTAATAGTAACTCAATCCAGATTAATGTTTAACACTTTAACCTTTAGTCACAGGAATTTTTTAAAAACGAATTTTATTTTTTTTGTTGAAGAAAAATATGATAGGGTGATCAGTAAATGACTCTGAAGTATAAAATGTATTATTACAACAGGATATAATTCTGTGGGGAAGTAGAATTGAGATACAAGTTCAAGGAGAAAAAGGAGAAATTTAAAATTTACGTTCATTAAAAAAAGAACTTGTGTATTTTAAATGGTGATGATTAAATGAGTAATGTTCACAGTTTTATTTTAAAATTTCAATATTTGCCATACATCAAACCAGACATTTAATCTTTTGCAATAACTTAAAACTTATGATAAAACCTTTTAGGTGACAGTCTTAAAAATATAAGGAATTGGGGACTTCCCTGGTGGCACAGTGGTTAAGACTCCACACTCCCAATGCAGGGGGCCTGGGTTCGATCCCTGGTCAGGGAACTAGATCCCACGTGCATGCCACAACTAAGGAGCCAGCGAGCTGCAACTAATGAGCCTGCCGGCCAAAACTAAACACCTGGCACAACCAAATAAATGAATTAATTAATTAAATAAATATTTTTAAAATGCAAGGAATTGGATAGCATTACTCTTACTATTGTATAGCATTACTATTACTATCAAAATTACTATGGTATATGTGAAAAATGTTTGAAGATGACCTATTCTACGTGTGTGTGTACATGTAATTATTCCATTGAGACAACTTTTTACCTTCCTTAAGTCCATGGAAATACAGAAGTCAAGTATATGTTCTAGATCTTTTTTTTTCTATGGCAGGGATCCCCAGTCTTTTCCTGGTGTTATGGACTGAATTGTGTTCCCCCTCCGCAAATGCATATGTTGAAACCCTAAACCCCAATGTGATAGTATTTGGAGATAGGGCTTTTAGGGAGGCAGTTAAGTTTAAATGAGGTCATAAGGATGAGATCCTAACCTGATTGGACTGATGTCCTTATAAGAAGAGGAAGAGATACCACAGATCTCTCTCCTCTCTCTCTCTCCCTGCACACTCACAGAAGAAAGGCCATGTGAGGACACGGCAAGAAGGCGGCCATCTGCAAGACAGAAAGAGACCTCACGAAAAACCAACCCTGACAGCACCTTGATCTGGGACATTCACCTCCAGAATTGTGAGAAAATAAGTATCTGTTGTTTAAGCCACTCTGTTTATAGTGTTTGGTTTTAGCAGCACTAGCAGACTGTTACACTGATGATGATCCTTTAAATGATCACTTGGAAAGAAATGTTGATAATGAAAGCTGCTGACACAGATGAGGCAGGTTATGAATTAGGCTGCAAGGTCAAGGTTATCTGGCAGCTGGTGATCAGACTGCTGGCAAATATATGATGACTTCCGTATGGTGAGATTTCCTTAATGATGCAGTAAGAAGACTCACTGTGGGCAGATCACTGGGGAATATTTCCTAGAGGACATGAGGTGGGCAATGAAACATGGAAGGTTCTAGGGGTGGCATTTAGGATGGAAAGATAGTATGACCAATGGCTCCGAGGAGAAGAGGCCATGACTGTGCCAACTGTGAGTAGACCTGAGGCAAATTTTACCCGCAGAGGAGTGATGGGCTCTGTCCCTACCCTGAGATTCACCAGCACAGTTACATGGAAGGGGTCCCCACTTGCTTTGTGCGTGAACGCACTTTGCCCCCCAGTTTGATTTAAACTCTGTTAGGCTAAGGGCTCCTTGACTGACTTCCTCCACCTGCTGGGACCTTCTGCTCTTCTGCATTTCCATCTTGGTATGGAGGGATCACATCCTCCCAGGACTTTCATTATCACCTCTACACTCTCTCCTTTATTTCTGTATCCTTTAGGACATCACATGGCTGCCCACTCCCTCAGACTCCACCCTGCACCCTCTTCATTCATCAACTCCCTCAGTACCTTCATGGACCTCATACAACCTGTGAATATCCTAAAAACCATTGAATTGTACACTTTAAAATGGTGATTTTTATGGTATATGAATTATATCTCAAATTTTAAAGTTAGACTACTATATTGAAAAAAATCATCCCTATAAAAATACAACTAAGAAATGGGCTTCCCTGGTGGCACAGTGGTTGAGAGTCCACCTGCCGATGCAGGAGACATGGGTTCGTGCCCCGGTCTGGGAAGATCCCACATGCCGCGGAGCAGCTGGGTCCGTGAGCCATGGCCGCTAAGCCTGTGCGTCCGGAGCCTGTGCTCCACAGTGGGAGAGGCCACAGCAGTGAGAAGCCCTCGTACCTAAAAAAAAAAAAAAAAAAATACAACTAAGAAACAGATTGAAATACGGAATAATTTTTATTCTGCTAAGATTAAATGTTGGTGTTTGATAATCAATATAAAATTTTATGATATTTGTTTTAAATTTTTTTAAAACCCATTGGTAAATAATTGAACAAAGATAGTGGAAGCATGGGAGAAATGAATAGAGTGAAGGGCATTTCTGTAGGAATGAGTCTGGGTAAAGTGCAGGAGGAGGGAGGCAATGAGAGACTGGTGGGAGATCTATCTGGGAGGAGCATAAATGCTGGCTGAATGAATAGAGTTTCACATTTTTTGTATTAGGGTAAACAGGAAATTAACAGCAATCGCTTTCATTAACATTTGAACAAGTTTTAACACTGCTATACATGCCAGTGGAGCCGGTTTCAGACTAAACCATCTTGTATGGGACGTGAGCTTGCAAATGGAAAGACGAAGAATTCTGAAAACATATGCTGGTGTCAGTTTTTACAGGCAGTGTTTGAATTTGCATTTTAATGTTATGAGAAATGTCTTTAGTGAATAAAGCCTGTGCTTCTGGGTAAAGGATAGTTTACCCTCTAAGGGGTTCTCAATTCTTTGACTCTCCACCTCATTTGGGAGTTCCTGGACCTTCCACATTCTAAAGCAGGGTTCCTCCCAAAGCAATCACCACCTCATAAAATGTGCAATGGGCTGGGCTTTTTATTGAAGGAAACAGTGATACCATCTCAAGAACTTTGCTTTGTTTCTCCCCATCCAAGCAGAAAGCATGTGGTGGTGAGTAGGTACATTATAAAGTTGGAACTAGAAAACATGTTTATGGCATAATGATTACAAGGCCCCAGTAAACACGAAGAAAAAGCAAATGAGGATTTAATATATCATGAATAACATAATTTACTGAGCTTAAAAGATCTTGAGAGAACATTATAGACCAACATTCTCATTTAAAATATGGGAAAACTGAACTCCTCTTCTGGGAAGATGGAGAAGTACTTTTCACTATCCCTTCTGCTAATGCGACTGAAACCCCTGGACGTTATATATAAGACAAAGGTAAGAAAACTCTGAAAGGTGGAGAAAAGAAGGCAGACTAGCAAGGGAATCTCAGGACCAAAGGACCAATTCTACACAATCTCTTCCAGAAAAGAGAAGAGGAAAGATCACTTCCCAATCATGGTTATGAAAAAAGTCTTACCCTGATAACAAAAGCAAAGACAGTACCAAAAGCTACAAAAAGCTATAGCTAACATTATACCTAATGTTGAAAGGCTAATTTCTCCCTAAGACTGGCAACAAGAGAAGGATCTCTGATTTTATTACTTATATTCAACATAGTGCTGAGTTAAAAATACAAAATTAAAAATACAGTACTGTCTATAATCAGTCAAAAAATGGAAATACCTTTTCAACAAATGGTGCTGGAGCAATTGGACATCCGTGAACAAACAAATTGAACCTTGACCTAAGTCTCACACCTTATACAAAAATTAACTCAAAATGGATCATGGACTTAAATGTAAAACATCAAACTATAAAACTTTTAGATAAACAGCATCAGAGAAAGTCTTCAGGATCTAGGGCTAGGCAGTGTGTTAGACTTGACACCAAAAGCATGATTCATAAAAGGAAAAAATTAATAAATTGAACATCAAAATTAAAAACTTTTGTCAGTGAAAGACCCTGTTAAGGGGATGAAAAGGCAAGCTAGAGACTGGGAGAAAATATTTGCAAACCACATCTTTGACAAGGAGTTATATCTAAATAATATAAAGACCTCTATAGTTTCAATGGTTAAAAAAATCAGGGCTTCCCACTGGTGGCGAAGTGGTTTAGAATCTGCCTGCCCATGCAGGGGACACGGGTTCGAGCCCTGGTCCGGGAAGATCCCACATGCGGCGGAGCAACTAAGGCCGTGCACCACAACTACTGAGCCTGCACTCTAGAGCCCACAAACCACAACTACTGAAGCCCGCGCGTCTGGAGCCCGTGCTCCGCGACAACAGAAGCCACGGCAATGAGAAGCCCGCGCACCGCAATGAAGAGTAGCCCCCGCTCGCCGCAACTAGACAAAGCCCGCGTGCAGTAGCGAAGACCCAATGCAGCCAAAAATAAATAAATGGCCCTTAAAAAAAACAATCAACCCAGTTAGAAGACTAATCCAAAATTCATAGACAGACATTTCACTGAAGAACACATACAGATGGCAAATAAGCACATGAATATATGTTCGACATCATTAGGGAAACGCAAACTAAAACCACAGGGAGATCACTACACACCCAACAGAATAACTAAAGTAAAAGACAGTGACTCCAGGAAATGCTGCCAAGGATGCAGAGAAACTAGATCACTCGTCGATTGCTGGTGGGAATGTAAAATTTTACCCTGGAAAACAGCTTGACAGCTTCTTAAAAAACTAAACACACGTCTACCATGTGACCCAGCAACTGCGCTCCTGGATATTTATCCAGAGAAAAAAAAATGTGTATTTATGCAAAAACCTATACACAAATGTTTTTAGTAGTTTTATTTAAACATCTCATAAAGGAAATTTTAAAGGTTGATAGGATCCTAATAGTCATTGAGCATTCAACATTAACTGTCTAATAGAAGGGTAGACCAGATGACCATTAAGTTCTACTTCAAATCTGAAATATTGATTTTATGTAAAAACCTTCTGCTAGGTTTATGAGAGAATACAAAAAACAGGTGTCCCTGACTTCCAAAACTCTCACCTGTAAGGCCAGTACAGACAGGGTTGGAGATAGGGAGACCACTGCAACTGAAGCTGTCTATGGGAATGAGGATACAGATCAGGTGCGTTGAGAGGAGGTAACCTGAAAATTAGCCGTAATGCCCAGGGTCACAGGTGATACATGGAACTTTTGTCAAGGGGAATGTAAGTTGAGACTCTAAGTGAATAGATTGTTCCTAGAGTCAAAGAGGTCAGGGATGAGGTCTGTGTTCTGGAAACGGGAAGGGATGGAGAGAATTGTATTGAGACAGGCAGTCAGAGTGGTGAGGCTGGGTTGTTCAAGATCACGTGCCACCGTAAGGATGTGTATCTCTTTTGTGCAGTGCTCTGTGGTCATTCTCCAAAATTTCCAACTCCCAGTTCTTTGTTTTTGTTGTGTTGAGTGTTTTTTCAAGTTTCTCAGTAAGTATGTGTATGGTGACAACTCTCCACTCACTGTCCTTTCAAATATTAGTCATTTCTGTCTAAAAGAAGGAATCATAACCCACCTCTACTTCTGATGCTTGCTTAGCCCCAGCCTCAGATGATCTCTAGACTATTGGGGGAGGGGGTAGGAGAACACTGCTGACCTTAAACCCTTTTAAATTTACTGCCCTTCTTTTCTTCCCTGTAGTATTCAATAGACCTATTTAACCCAAGTTCCTTGGGATATATATATATAATCCCAGTGTTTGTCTGTCCTTCCTCCTCAGCAGGGTCTGAATTTATCTGATGACTGCCAGCCATACGTCTGTGTCAGATGGGGCTTACCCTTTAGTCTGCCCTATTTGTCTGGTAAATCACAGTATTATTCCGGGTGCTTTCCTATTAAGGCAGACAATCAAAGCATAGGCAGCATCTCTTCTGAGTCTATTTTTCTAATCCCTGCCTTTAAAATTCTGCCCACCACTGGAGTGTAACACCTTTATCAATTTCCTCTTAATTAACTAGACTCTCTTGCAACTATCCCCATCATCAACCAATATTTGTTAAGAATCGCAGAGTGTCATTGTTGGACAGGGAGAGCATTTCATTAGAGCAACTATGAAACGTTACTAATGTGTAGACACAACAGCAGATACAGATATTTGCAATCTGGGGCGTCTGAAAAACTGTAGATTCGAAAGCAAGTGTCAAAGTGCCCTCTAGTGGTGCATA